GGAAGGGCTTCCTATCTACGTGTCCAACCTCCCGCGGCAGAAGGAAAACAGTGAAACTAAGAGCTGCAGTTGGTGCTTTGTGGCAGAATGAGGATTGTTTGGAGAGAATGGTTTGTTTTTTTTTTTCATTATCAGCTGCATCTTTTTCCTTCAGCTACTAAATTTTGTCAGTAAGATTGCTCCTATACAATTGCTGACAATTAAGTGCGCATTCAAGAAAGAGCTGAGTTTCTTTAATCAGAGATGATGGACTTCTACTCACAGTACCTGATAATTTGAATATTACCAGTCAGTCTATTTCATTTCTTTAAAAAAGTTATCTTTTTTTTCCCCCTGCTAATATGGCCTATGATCTACATGCAGCTATGTTAGTTACTCAGACAGTGAGTTTATTGGTTTTTAAAATATAAGACTATTTTTTCACTTTCATGATTTCATTCTTAAACATGAATCTTTAGTGTGAATTGGCTCAATGAGGAAGAAAGAAGTCTACTCTTGATTTCTCATTAGAGATAAATACAAGTAATGTGACACTGTAGAACTGTATCTAATAATTTTAATATAATATGGACTTTTGCTTGCAATGTCACATTCTTTTATTAGCTTTGATTCATTTAAAATATTTGCTTAAATTGTTATTTCAGAAGGATTTATATATTCTTTTGACTACTGCTATTACTGCATTTGATCCTGCTTGCTTTTCAAAGTACTAGAAAGGGATAGCCCAGCATCTCCCCAGTTCTGATACAAACACAAAACACATTAATGTTGAATTAATTTCTGGTAAACCACAAAGAGATTGGCTGTGTTCAGATCACGTGCTGAGGTTAGCTCCATGCTGTGCTTTGAACGTTGGCTTGGGTGAGCTTTGGAGCAGAGTTTGAGAGTTTCCTAAACCACATAACTACAGCTGAAGAGATCTGGGTGCCTAAACTGTGCTGATTTGAGCATCTGGATCTGAGTCTCTACATCAGTGAAAGGGGGATTGGAGTGGTCCCTCCTTTGTGTAAGGGGGCACTGAGATAAAAGCGTTTGGAGCTCAGTTACCCGTTTGTCTGCTGAAGATGTGTGCAAAACACAATGAAGGAAACTGGAGTGCTTGGCTATAAGTAGTGCTTTTACAGCTGTAATTTCACATTATGCTCAGAGGCCTTGGGATATGGAGGTTTTTTTTCCCTGCTGACTTTCCTCATGTGGCTTTCTCATTTTCAAGCTATGTGTTGTTAAACAAGGGCTTTGCTTGCTTTTGAGGATTTTATTTTCTTTTTTGATATGGGGAGATAAGGGTTGCCTTTCTTTTACTTAGCTTTATTTCAAATAATAATTTATTTTAAGAGGGTTATTTTGCAATGTTTACAGTGCACTTCAATTTTTTATTATGTCATGCCCTCTCAGCCCCTTGGTGGGATGAGAGGTGAATGTATGTATTATATAATTTATAATTAATTTATGATGAATCACATATGATGAATACTGCTTATTAAATATTAAAGCCTTGTCTACAGCCATTCAGTAATGGCAGCAGCTCACCTATCTTTTCCTGTGGCAGTACTGAGCCAGCTCATTGAGCTGGGCTAAGAAGGCAGCTCTCAGTTACAAGCGAAGTCTCAGCTGCCTGCCTAGGTCTATAGTGTTAAGAATTACCTCTTGCCTTCCCCTTGCCCTAGGTGCACCAGCAAGAATGGGTGTAATGAGAACACCATCTCCAAAGCCTGGTTGAGAAATGAAGGGTGTTACTGGTAACCCCCCAGTTCCAATCCTTGCTGCAATTCCATTGTAGATAGAAGACTGCACAGCACTGGAGGGCTGCCCAGCACAAGGTGACAGCCTGGGTCTGGGCAAGTGGAAAATATATGCTAAATTCTGACAGCCTATTTTTATTAGTAGGGAGTGGAATTTAGACAGTGGAATTCATCTACCTGCAGAGGTCATTCTAGCATCTGGAACTAATGAGCTCCCAAATCAAAGTGGGAATGCTAAGGGGAAAATAATGCAAGGGCTCACACTTGCCAGGTGAAGCCAGTGGTCTTAAGAAGGCTTTTTTCCAACTCAGCAGCAATGAGTCTATGAATCAGAAACAGTACATGAGACAGAGCACTCTCCCAGCTCTTTGGATTTCTGGAACTCGGAGGGATCCACCCCATTAGCATTATTAGGTAGAAAGGGAAAAGCAGCCTTCTAACAGGGTTTTGTGCTGTACTTTGCCTTTCTGGGAGCTCTGACCTGTGATCCTCACTGAAGACCATATGCGGTGAAGAACAGATGCTGTGGCTTTGTGCAGTGCAACAGAACTTAATCCTGAAATTCTTGCTGCTCCATGTTTACTGACAGCTTGGCAGGCTGCTTTCCTTGTGTTTCAGAAAAAAAAAAATAAATAAATGACTTGAGTGGCTGTTGTAGAAGGAGGATTGGAAGAGGCTCAAGTACCTTGTAAGTGAATGAGGAATATCTGAGGTATATTATGAGGAATACATACGTTAAGGCACATGCAAGTGTGTACTGTTTTACTGAGGTACTTTCATGTGGAAAGCGAGCTAAAAGAAGCAGGCAGAGCGTTCAAGCAGTGGAATTAAAAGATGTATCATCTGCAGTGAGTGACCATATGAAATGAATGTAATCCTAAGTGGTTCCAATTAGCGCGATGCGAAAGGAAAGGAATGCAATTCATTTTGGCTTTACGGTTCTGTGTAACCCACTTGTACAACATGCAGCTTGTGAGATGGGATATTACAAAATCCTTAGGGTACAGATAACAGAAAACAGTGGTTCTTGGCTGTACCATGAAAAAATACTGAAGCACAAGCATATTCCTTCAGAACTTCTTATTTATTTTCTGAGAACTCAAGCTTTAGTAATTGCAACAAATCTAATTCTAGTAAATATTTGACTCCAGATTTGCTCTTCTCTCAGAGCTTTCGTAGTGTAATTTAGTGACATGACAGATTATCAAGAGCTTGTTTTAATATTAACTAAATCACACACAAAGACAAAATTCTCAGCCCTTAAAATTGCATAAACAAAATTGATTTGTGAGAGTTGATCCTAATGGGGAGTGATATATTCATTGATATTGAGTCTCTGATCTAATATCACTTCATACATGAGCTGTAATGAGAAGATTAAAAGAAAACCCTATAATATTATGTGGAAATTACCTAAGGTAAAATGGTGTATAGTAACATAGCTCCTTATCATGCACAGGAGGAGCCCATACTGAAGAAAACCTATGTTTGGTCTTAGGGATGGGAGCAAGATTAGGACTGAAATGCATTTGAAAGAAACTGTTTTCATCAAGTCTCACATATCTAGTTACATTTTTCTTCTCAGGTAACTCAGATGAGTAAATTGCGCATAACAATTTTTGTGATTTGATCTTTTTTTGCAGGTTATTAGGCAATTGTTGGCATGCTCACCAATTATAGTAGGTCATCTAATTCTCATTATTAAATCACCGTGGTCATGAAAATGCCAAGCATATTTTTACAGAATTCACCTCATAAAATGTCAGCAAATCTGTGTATTTTTATTACTTCCAAACCAGATATTTCAATAGAATGTTTGTAAGTATTCCCAAAGCAATGTCCATTTCTGACTTTGAGAACACACAAATATATTACAAATTAATCAGATTTTCTGATTTCAGCATAAGTCTGCACACTTATTGTTTAATCCTATTGTAAAATGCTGTTATGATTGACACCTTGCTGTAGAGATGGAAGTCAATTGAATAATATGTAGCAGTCAATTTTATTTGTACCTTAATGCGCTGAAGTATTTTTTCACATTTCCATTATTTATAAGCCTGTCCCCTTAGAGAATATATAGAAGAATTTGTTTTAAATGAGCTGATAATACCCTCTTTAAAATTTATAAGTATGACAGAATCATATCCCTTTTCCTGAGCACACCATGGTGTGCCAATAAACTGGTTCTGAATTGTCTTGCACTTGCTATTCATAGGACAAACATTGGAAAAGAGCATCTTGTTAAGGTTTACTCGGAATGGGATTTCATCCCCAGATCAGAAAATAACTAAAAGAACAAAAGCTATCATACTAACCGGGAAACCTAAGTCATAGCCAGGATCTTCTTTTTGAAAGACCACAGTAGTCCTGCAGCTACTTCTGATACTTGCTGCCAATCTTTCAGCTTCAAAGGCAAATGTGGGCCTGATCTCGCCATCAGTGCTGGAAAAGTTTGTGAATCAATGCGAGTGCTACACCTGGAGGAAACAGAAGATAGGGACTTAGTTTTGAAAACATCTTGGTACTTTGTTGCGACTGATAGGGCATTTTTTCCTTTCCCTTTATTCTTTTCAAATCTGTTCTGCAGGCTTCAGCGAAATCCGGTAGGGCTGGACTCTGTTCTGTGCTTAGCAAGTCATTAGTGCCCAGCATACAGTTTGATTGTTGGATATTGATCAATTTAATACATGGTGAAAAGCCTTGGTTTCACATAGTTTTGCTCTCCCCCCATGTGCAATTTAGAAAGCAAGGGAAATAGCTGTCATTTGGAAACATACTTGCTTTCACTTTCCATAGCGCCTTTTTATTGTGCATCAGAGTCTTTTCTGCCTCAGTAAGTGGCAAAAGAAAATTATTAAGATACAAATAGATGTGACTTGATTGCTTTTCAGATAATTTTTGCCTTCAGAAATTAGAAAGGCTGATGCTCACCTAAGCGTAGAAAATGCAGTTCCCACACAAGCAGAGTGCTCATGTACTGTATGTAAATTGATGTATAATGCAACCCACATTAGCTGGGTTGATGATAGCTTCAGTTTCACTGCTGTCAGATTTTTGTATCTCCTTGAATGAGTTGGCTGTTCTGAATGAATGTTAGCATAATTTATGCAGCTGATAAGTGATTTGAGTGCTTGAGTTATTGATAAAGCACTTTAACATGTCATTTTCAGCTTGATGTTATGTGACATCAGAGTAGAAGATAATGTGCCAGTCCCTAGGCTTGATATTAAAGTCGATTTCCTCTTTGGATTCTAGAGGCCAGAGGAAACACAGTGCTGTCTGATACAAGCCCAGGTGACCAGCACCAACCCAGTCAGTCCCATCCTGCGTTCCCTGTTGGGCCTCAGGTCAGTATCTTTCCTTTTGACTAATTGAGGCATGCAATTGGATGAATAGTTGCGAATGATCGTCTTTTATCTGTGCAATGCAGAAAATGTGGTTCTGTTTGGCTGTATTCTGTCTTACAAAAAGGGAACGTGGATGTATCTTGCGTTTGCTTTAAAAGGTATTTGAAAGGACTAGCTTTCTGTATGCTTTCTTAAGATAAATTTAAGCAGCTTTGTATGTTTAGGAGGTTAAATGCTTTGAACTTCTTATATAAGTTATTTTTGAAATACAAGTCATGATTTAATATTAAAAAGCTAGTGCAATTTTAATGTAACCTTGTCGGCTCTGACAGTTCTGCATGTCACACACAGCTCCTGCATTAGTAAAGGCATTTCATAATCATTTATATCAAATATTTTCTTTTCAGCAAAATGTAAGCATAATAGCATGGCTCTGTTAATCCTTTTAAAAAGTTTTCCATATCACTTCATGGTTTTATCAAACTTCAACTATACTCTAAGAAGATTCTTAATGTTCTTCCACTTCACGAAACTGTTTTGCATCCTACTTGGTCTACAGAGCTTCTGGTAATTGCTGGTAACTGCTGCTTTCAGCTCTTACCAATCAATGTACAACTGGAAAAATTTGGGAAATATTAGCTTTTAGATACTTGTGAGCTGACTTGAGTTCAGCCGTCTTGTGTTCATGAATTGTTGTCAGTGCACATGTAATACATTTTCCAGTTTAGATTCAACTCAAGTTGCTACCATGCTACATGGCAATATAAATTACAGTTTCAGTCTGAAGTGTCTGGCAGTGCTTTTTGGGTTGGTGAGAGTGCGTGCTTTGAGATACTGGAAGAAGTGCGTGTTTGTACTGCAACACTGAAGGATCCCAAACAGAAGAAGTAATACTGTGTACCACTGAGCTGTGCATGGTAAAATAGGCATGCTGCTGTCTGTGTTTCATTACAGCCATTACTGACAGCCCAACAGTTAGCCTCAGCAGTAGCAGGGGTGATGCCAGGAGGCACGCCGGCCCTGAATCAACCGATTCTTATTCCTTTCAACATGGCTGGACAGCTGGGAGGCCAACAAGGACTGGTCCTAACTCTACCAACAGCAAATCTCACCAACATCCAAGGACTGGTAGCAGCAGCTGCAGCAGGAGGCATCATGACTTTGCCATTGCAAAATCTACAAGGTAGGTTGTGTTTAGCATTTTTCTGGCAGAGTCTTTTGCCTGTTTGTTTCACTTTGTCTCTTTTAAACAGAGCTGTCTCTTCTTTCAGTGAAATGTTGCTCTTGATACTTATTGAAAGTTAATGCTTGCTTTAGTTTTGAATACTTGAGAGATACTTGAGGGATATTTGCATTTTTATAAAACTGGAGTGGAGGTTGGGCTCTTACATTCTCTAGGTCAGTACTGTAAAGTACTTGAATGATTCATTAGGCTTTTCTGTCATCAGTGATCAATGTTCTCTACTCAGATTTCGCTTCAGAATTTCAAATGGCAACGTGAAAATAAGTATTCTGTTTAACCATTGCTGATTAGAGTAGCTGAGTGAATGGAGGCAGCTAAAAACAGAGTATCGCTTTAAAATAACTTTCTAAATCCTGTTATAAAATAAGAGCTTTCTCAGTTAGCTGGCACTACTGCCTGGGATGCACATTCTCTTTCTTACTGTGGGAGGACTGCTTTGCCAGTAAGGTTCTGCCTTACTGCCTTCCCACTCTCTGAGCTGTGCCGTGTTTGCAACAGTTCTGCCTTAAGGTGTCTACTGTAGCCTCCTTATTGTCTAAAATCAGACTGAGAAGCTGTTTAATGAGACACCAGGTATCTCTTCCACCTTAGTGTTCCATGCTGTTAGAACCAGTACGCAGTCCAAACACTTGTGATATAAAATGCATATTTATTTACTGCTTATTATTTTGGTTGCTTCCCAGACAGCAGTTGGCTGTCCACATGAAAGTAATAGAGGTGTGAGCAGGCAATATCAAAATAAAACTTTAGCTCTTTCAAATAGTTGGTTTGTTTATCTGTGTGATTATTGATTGCTGAAATAAGTGGTAGAAAGTTTTCCTCAGCCAAAATATGAATTATATTAAGTGAATGCTCTGCACTGCCCCCTAAGTGCTTTTCAGGTGATTGTACTGTGGGTTGTTGGCTATTTCCTGAATGGCTTGAAGCACCAAATCCTACAGGTTGTGAAACAGAGCAAAGGAAGAGACAGCTCATGTGCTGAACAAACTCCTTTACAAACTACATGCATAGTACTCTCACCTGTTGGAGCAGCTGCTTGCCTTTACCTTGTGCATGTTTTAAAGTTTAATGTCAACAGACCTCTCTTATCATAGTTGTAAATGGTTTTCACTTTAATGTTTAAAATAATGTCTCTCTCATACCATTAAGCTGCACCGAAGAACCTGTCATTCATAAATCATAGATGAAAAGGACACACTAATGCACAAATTTTGCTTGTTTAAAATTTGAGAGTGCATGTAAAGTAGGGAACTGGAGATTAAAAAAATAATGCAGGACCAGGAGCGGGTAAAAACAGATATAACAAAGTGAAGGAGAAGTGGCTTTTTAGCGTAGGTGGATGATGAAATCTTAATGAAGAAACAGGCATTATAAAAATGTATCCTTCTATTCTGGAGTGCTCCAGGTTATGGCTGCTGTGTATGTAGTATTATAAATAAACATAAGCTCGTGCAGTTCTTACATCATTTATTTGCCCTGTGTTGCAAAGCTGTTAGGGATTAAGTCCGGCAACCCTTGCTATTTAGTTTATCCTTGGGTGTGTAATTGATAGCTAAAAGGTGCAACTCTGCTACCAAATAAATGTTGCGAGGAATGGCTTTAACAGATGGAAAGTTTTCCTCTAATCTTTACTAAGGGACTTGCTGGGTCATCGGGTAGAGGTGGAGGCAATCATATCTTCCATGAAGAACCCAAATGTGACAACAACTGTGAATTAAGTTACTTGCTTTGCTGTTTGTACGCTTCTGTATTCTCCCCTCCCATCCCTCTAAACACCTCACAACTTCCCAAGAGTTGGATGACAGTGCTTTGTTTCTGGACAATGTCTTTAGCTGTGTGATATCATCAGTTCCATGACTGATTTCTGGTTCATATTTGTTATGATCATTTGCAAGATAACCATAGAATGTGTGTTATTTTTTTTAGAGACAGGATTTTATAGTAGCGTTTCCTTCAAGCTGCTTTGGTAATTCATGCCCTGTGGGTAAAATCAAACCATATTCTTCAACTTTCTTCTCTTTTAAACCTATCTGTGTGGCATTGTCAACATAGATGACTGGGGGACATGTTTGCATGCTGTTTTCCAGCCTGTCTTATTGCTCCCATTCTTGTCAACATCTGCTGCCCCTGCACGTTCAGTGCAATCAAACTTAGATGTCAAAAGCTTCTTTGGCCAGGTTCTTCTCTAGTTTTTATTCTCTCATCAGTAAAATCTTCATCTCAAACTAGCCTAGCCAGGTAAATCAAAAGACATCCTACAGAATTCTGGAATAACGTAGGAATTCAGAAAATCTTTGATTTAACCTGCTTTAATGTGGGCAGTTCCACTAATTTTTGTATGAACTGTGTGCATAGATGATTTTCTTATGGAGCTCAGAATAATTTCATCTCAAGGTGAATGGATGGAAAATGAAAATTCTTGCTTATGGATAGTGAGGAAAAAAAAGCATTCAATGATAGAATTCATAGAGGAGATACATTAAGTATTTGGAAAGAGAAAACAGGAGTTCCTTTAAAAATTCAGGACATCGGTAAAACAGCATGATTAATGATATGGAAATTACTCGCACAATATGACTTATCCAGTGAAATTCCTTAATCTTCAGTTATCAATTGGCTGTAAATAATCTTTTTTTTTTTTTTTAATTTTTTTTTTTTAAATCTCAGAGCAATGTCTGGAAGCTGTTTTTTGTAGAAAAGTACTGTCTCCCCAAATCCATCTGCTTTTTCTAGATCACAATATTTCTGTATATCTGAACAGAAAGTTACTTTGGAAGAAAAGAGTTTGGTTTGTCTTGTTCTCTTAAGATATTTTTATCCCTTTCGATTCCACGTTGAAGAGTTGCTGTCTTCAGCCTGACCTCTCATTTCATTCAGTTTTCCATGACAGCTAAGGAATTTTGAACTAAAATGTTAATGCTATTTTAGCTATCCTTTTAATACAGTAGGCCTGTTGAAATGAGAAGAAACTAGCTCTGTGTCATCTGCCAGCTCAGTGCTAGCTACCTATGCTCTGTGGACCAGAATTTGAGTCTCTCCACGATGGCTGGCCCAGATCTATTGCACAGCATATCGATGAGACAATATTGTTTTAGACTTCACCACTATAGAGCCTGAATGATACTTGTACCTCAAAATAAATAAAACAAAATAAATCAGCAAGTTTCATGACGTGGAAACTTTGCATGTTTAATTTTCACTATGCATTGTGCTGTTCTTAAAATGGGTATCAATAATTTATTTCCAAGTCAGAGTTTCTCAGTCTTGAGTTCTGAAAGAAATGAGAAAAGACTATCTCCCCAAATCATTAGAGAAAGGCTTCAGTGCTGAAAGGAAGCATTGCATGAATGAAAATGTGAAATAATTACATTATTTAAACAGCAGCTGATCATATTTTAGCTGCAACACAGTGGAAAAGGAAATATATTAAACATCTTGACAGCTAGGTAACAGCTATTCAAATAAATTCATATGGGTAACAGTAGATAACAGCAGAAAAATTTAGAAAGCTTTTTTTTTTTTTAATATGATCAGTCAAAACTAATGTTGGTTAAAAACATTATGGTAACAAAAGCAAAAAAAAATATTGTTTGCATTGATTAGGTCTTGTTTCTTTTGAACATAGATTTGATCATTAATTGAGCAACAGAAAAAGTAAACGTGCTCTTTCTCCTTTTGCCCACAGATCTTAAAAATCAGAAGTCAGAGAGATGAAAAACAAGAAAGAGACAAAATAAATAGATAAACTACAAGCCTCAATTGCTTACTGATCTAGAGTCCAAATTCTGGTTTCTAGAACATTTTCCCCTTTTAACTGAAGTGACGCAGTCCCTATTCATTTGTATTCCCCTTCAAGTAACATGAAATAGCTTTCAGAGTCTACAGAAAAGCAGTGTTTCACTTATGTATTTTAATGAGCACCAATGTCAGTAATAATCAAAATGATGTTTCACTTAGAGGAATAGTTTATTCCCAGGTACTTCTGCAGTGTACTAACATAACCGGAACATGAATGACAAGAACCAAGAAAAGGAGCTGCACTCGCTAGCAATTTCAGTAAGCCCTCAAACCAAACAAGCGTCCACTAATACTGCATAAATGCTGCATGTAGTACAGTCATTGTGAAGGGCTTTCTCACACAGAGGAGGGGTTAATGACCCTTTAAGAGAAACCTCCCTAACTCAGTACGTGGAAAGAAGTAAAATAAATTCTCAAACATAATGTGATGTACACAGAACGCCTATGGACTAGCAGCAGGCTTCCTCAGACACCTGTGTTCCATCCTCTCTGTGCTGTAGAGGAACTGAGAAAACAGGCAGACATTCCTAAAGATGGTCTAATGCAGTAGGTTTTGTGTCTCCAGCTATTTGCTAGGAAACGTACAGTTTGGGGGACTTAACACACTTTTGGGAGAAAAGATGCAAGAACCTTTGCGGGCTGGTTTTCCATTTGTGATGCTTTTCCTCATACAAGGCTTCACCCGTGGGAATGATGTGCTCCCTTGTTAATTGTTCATTTTGCACAGTGGCAAATTGCTGCCTTCACAGAGGGAATGTGAAAGGTTTGGGGATTTATTTGCTACTGGTTGTTTACTGATCGCTCATAGTGCGTCAACTGTTTAATTTTTTTTTGCCCATAATTTTAAGGCCTATTAAAGTTTGTATGCTCCATTGTTGATTTCTACTCAAAATAGACCTAGACAATGCCTGTTTTTTCATTACTAATGAATATGGAACAACATCAGTAATGAAGTTATATAGATTAAATTAATTCTGAAATCAAACTGTTCACATTTACTTATTTGCAAGCCAAGTTTTGGCTGGGTCTAAGTTTCCAACTTGTTTGACGAGGAGCAGATGGGAAAGACAAAAGTGATCTGATCCTCTCTTAATTTTCCACCAAAAACCTATTAGTTAACTACCTTCTGAGCAGGCATGGTC